CCCCCCGGTTTTTCAGATGAAGCAGAAAAAAAGACCTTAAAAAAATGTGTGTTCCCCCCAACTTTTAAGATAGTGATTACGTCCTTGACCACACATTCTGGGATAAATGTAACTTATTAAACGATCAAATACGAAGAATAATTACATGAGCTGAAACCATCTAAACAATATCTTTTTGAATAAAATAGTCTTTTAAAAAATAAATCAGTCTAACAAATAAAACATTTGTATGTTTTAAGTTATTTTGCTCTGTGTGAAAAACAGATATTTGCTGGTTGGACTGGAGAGTGTGGAAAGCTGGTTTAACCAAGGCCAAAGATCCAGAAGGTCAAACTACAGGAGTTGTCCATCTGAGGGACATGTGTAGCCTAAAAGACATTTAACCATGAAATGTTCAGTTTGTGATGTTTATATGAAATACACCAAGCCCCTCAGCTACTTAGGTAGTTTACAAAATTTATGCAGAGTAAAAGAATAAAATAAAAACTTGTTGGACTGATTTGGCATGATGTCCTGAGACGTTGCAGCTGATAGGAGACATAAAACAGAACAGGGGGCCGTTAGATGCCCTGACACCCCTATAGAAATGAGTGAAGCATGACTGAGCACCAAGCAACAACCCATAGGTTCTCCCTGAGAACCAGACTAAAGATTTTATGTGCAACCCTGTCTACAAAATATGTTTTAATTCTTCTTGAATATTTATCTTTTTTTCTGACTTTTTACACAAATATGTGTTAGAATTTATGCTGACAGGAAATTATAAGCTGCAGTTTTATAGAAATTTATTTATTGCAAGGATAAATTAGATTTTTTTAATAAAAACATTTCACATAATGCGTGTTTAAGCTGAGTTTACCTTTGAAATTTTTAACTTAAAAATAAATAGTTAAATAGTCTAAAGACAATAGCAGTATTTGCATGAATATGAATGAAGTCACCAAAAACAGAACCTTTCCTTTATGAAATGTCGACTATGGGCTTGCCTGTACCAAGAGATTCGCAACATTAACATATTTGATGTAATGGCAGACTTGCTTCCAGCAGAGAGCGCTGTGGGGGGAAAAAAAGCCAAAAAAAAAAAAAATACTATTCTACAACCTCACCTTAGAACATAGAAATTCAAATAATTATGTAATCTTAATATTTTCAGGCACATAACTCATCCTCTTCATTCAGAGGGACCTCATATAAAAAGTTGTGATTATGAAAAAAGAAATTCTGCAGATTAACTTCAACTGAATAAAAT